TTTGATTAGGATCATACTAAACATGTTAGCTATTAAGATCATGCATTTAGGCATTACTAAACATTCAGACCCAAATTGCAAACATATGCAGAACTACCTTGGTGTTCTTACTTTAAAACTTGTTCATCCACTTTGCAATGACTTTTTCTGTTTTGTTGATTCCAGTAGGGATTTTATTATTCAAACATTTTTGTTTAATGTTAGATTCATGTTAGTATCATGTTTATACAGTTTTAAGTCATTTTACAGAATTTGACCGATTAAGTTGTTTTCTAGGTTCACATTCGTCTATATAATTAGGCTTTTCTTATTTATTACACATTCTATCCAATTTTTCATTTTAGCATTTAATTAGCATCATATTAAGCATGTAATAATCATAAAATCATCCAAATATAACCTTCAATATATCAGAATTAAACTTAGGAGAAAACCCATTTGATGTTAACACTAGTTTTGACTAGTTTGCTCTTAAATTTGGTATCACCACTGATTTTAAGTTTCTCTTATTCCAGTACTATTTTGAGCATTTTACTATCTTTCTTTAATGATGTCTGAACCTCCAATTACCCCATTCCATGCATTTTACATGTTTTGACTCATTAAGCACATTTTAGCCTACCTAGACTTAAGAATTTTATTTTGTATTAATTTTTTTTATATATTCTTTGTTTTAGACTTTGATTAGGATCGCGTATTTAGGCATTACTAAACTTTTAGACCCAAAATTGCAAACATATACATTACTACCTTGGTGTTCTTAATTTAAAATTCTAATCTGCACATTTAATTTGTACTGCAACAACACCAGCTAGCTGAAATACAAAATAATCCAATGCGTGCATGTTTCCAGCCCCTTGTTTGTTGTGTGATTCAACTCTGCTGCATTTAATTTTTACTTTGAACTTGTTTACGTATTCAAACCTATTATTTCTAATATAACAGAGAAAGGTTTCATGGAAGCCTGAAGATGAGGAAAAGGTAAAAAAAAATTATCACACCAAGGCATCTCATAGACTCTCAGAGATGTATAAAAAAGCTAGAACTCTAGGAAAAAGACCTGATTGGCTGGGGGACGATACTTGGAATGCTCTTTTGGAAAAGTGAAACATGCCACTTTATAGACAAAAGTGTGAAACGGCAAAGAAGAATCGGACATCTGAAAGGGGTGGTTGTTTGCACACTGGAGGATCTATAAGTATGCACGAGCATGCTATTCGTTTGGTATGTAACTTGTACATTTTTTTTCTTATATTTGTAATCATAAACTTTACAAATATTTATTAACAACTCATTTTGTTTGCAGTCACAGGAGCTTGGTCGGTCTGTGCATGTTGATGAAATATTTCAGCAGACACATATTCGTCAATCAACAGGGGAATTTGTGGACGAAACGTCTAGGCAGACCCATGTAAGTTTGTACTAACTCTATCACATTATAAAATTTCGGTTTTTAAATCTCATGTTTAATGATAATATTTATTCATTTAACAGGAACAATTTGTTGCAAAATTTTCTCAAATAAGATCTGAGACTGCATCTGTTGGTGTCTCAACATCTTCTCCTCTAGACCCTGCGGAGGAGGAAAGATTGAGAAACCGATGTTGGTTAGAGGCTGCTGGTGGAAAATACAAGGGACGCGTATATGACATTGGAAATGTCACTTCCCAAGATGACTGTGTTGATAGTTACATCCAACAGACATAGGCATCTTCTACTGCTCAACAACAAAATTCAGAAGAAATTTTTAACCTGAAATCGCAGTTACAACAATATGGTCAGCAGCTTGAAAAGTTTGAATGCTTTATTGGCGTCCTCCTGCCATTCCTTCCGCCTTCAGCAGCCGCAACTGCACAAGACTTTTTAAACCTTCAAAATCCTCAAGTTCAAAATGAAGTACCCAATGATGTCCAACCAAAACAGCTACCTCCAGAACAACAACCACCACACCAGCAACCACCAGATGAACAACCACAAGATGGAAATGATTATATGCATTATTAGTCATTTTATAGAACTTATTTCTATTATTGTTGAACTTATTTAGAACCTTAACCACAATTTGTTTATGAACTTACCTAATGTTTATTCTTGCAGTTATATTGATGTAAACAATATTTATGTATTCATATACAATGTTTCCTTTATGGATTAAGTGTATCTGAAAAGCTTGTTGGATTTATATGTCAATGTGCAATATATAATGTCCAGGTTTGCTTATATCAATTGTGAATGTTCACTATAATGTCCAGGTATGCTTGTATATTGTGCATGGGGAACTACCATATACAGGGTATATATTTAGCTCTTCTTAAACCATTATATACGGATATATCCGTATATAAGTTATATACGGATTTATCCGTATATAACTTCCGTATATAGGTTATATACGGATTTATCCGTATATAAACCTAGCTACGATAGTATTATATACGGATTTTTTCCCGTATGTAATCCATATATAACCAAGTATTATATACGAATTTTAGGTCTTATATACGGATTTTTGCTGTATGTAATTCACTTTTTTCTTGTAGTGAATGAAAATGATTTTCACAAGATAAACACTTTAACCGATTATGAAACTTATGTAATCGGTTAAGTTTCATACACATCAATTCACACAACAAACACATGTTGGCATAACATCGTGTTTTATCTATTATATAACTAATGTAATTGATTAAAACATAATTATTTCCCCCTTGTTAAGCATGTACTGAAAACTGAAGAAATTTAACATATTATATAAGCAATTTAATCGATTTTTACTTCAAAATATTCAAAGTGCAATATGTTTCAACTTATGATTCATTTCATACAATGAATTCATATACCAATCATTTCAAGCACAAACACAATAAAGATCAATCAATTGTTTTTCCATTTGTTGTGCAAGAAGCATTAAAACATTTCATTCGTTCATCATAAAAACACATATGTGATATGGGTTTTGCTATATACAGCTTCCCCAATCAACAATCTCCTTTTTTTATGATACACAACAAGAAATCTATTTTCCAATTGCTCTCCCCCTTTGGGCATTAGAAAAAAATGGCAGAACAAGTAATATTGAAATAAAGTGCTAAAAGAGACATCAAAAAAGTAATCGTCACAGACCATTTGAAGAATGTGATGCTCCCCCTATCATTAAGCAATGTAGCAGTTAACCAAAATGAGCATTATAAGATTGATTATAGTGCGTAAATCAAAGCTCCATTGATTACATTTAAAACAATATAATTAGATATATAACATATTAGAGTATGTATACTGAATTCTAATGAATATACTATGTGATATCATGTGCAATTTGCAAATACTTAATATGATTTATGCAAATAAGATGAGCACATAGTATGATTGCAGTTTCAATGTATGATATCAACTAATTGTACAACCGAATATATGAACAAATGTTAGCAAATATGCAACAGTGGTGCCTTTTTTATAATGAAGCATATATATATATTGAGTTTCAAAAACACTTTTTATCAATATGCAACATATGACATGTATTAGATGCTCAACATGTATATAAGAATAGTGAAAACATGTTTAGCAATGAAGATCAACAATTATAAACATGTAAACCAATTTTTACCATTTAATCAATTACATTATGATGTAACAGATTAAGTTAACTGCAGTAAGAAATATTTAACAGATCATAAATCCATTTAATATGTTAAATTTCACAGAGATGATCAATATCATGATTTTGATCATTTAACCTATGAAGATCATGTTATAACCTGCAAACACAACTTTCTCAACCATGTTGAGTGTTTGTACAAGATA